TGCAAAGGGACATCACAATCAGATGCGGGATCACAAGAAACCAACTTCACTAACTCTGGTTTCACCAAGATCTACGTAAGGAGTTATGAAATGAAGGACCCTCTCTATTGAAATGTGTTTATGGTCCTAGGGGCATTGTGACATATCAAAGGATTTTGCATCAAATTCTGTATTTGCATGTTTATCAAGTTACTGAATTGCTAAACCCTAAACCCTAAACATGTGGCAAATGCTGCGTGAAGAAAGATGCCCTTTCTGGGCAAATGCTGTAAGAGGCAGATGCCGAGCAGATGTATCTCAGGCTAGCGAAGGGGACAAACGAAAGCTAGCTATAAACATGACGGGATGCAAATAGATTACTAGGCTGGTCCTACGAAAATCAAAAACCATAATTAAAAACATTGAAAATGCAAAAAGAAAGGTTTATAATATTTTTGAATTTTAAGCAACCAAAGGAATGTAAGTAGGGCATGTGTTTGTAAGTTTAAAAATGCCTCAACCACTTAAATTCCCAAGTAAATAAAGCTATTTCTATTTTTGGTACAGGTAAACTTTATAGCGTGTGGGCTCATGCAATTTTGAACCCAAAAATGCACCAAAAAATGCTCGACTAGCATTATTCTTTGAATGGCGTGTGGCCTTATATTGCCATAAATGGACGTACACACACAGCATAATTATTCCTTTACACGGCGAATAATCTTGGTGCGGATCGCTGACATGGCATGGCAAAGTTCAAATCACTGACATGGCACAGCTGGATCGAGGCAAGGACATGATGTGACAAAGTTCAACGTCCGACAGCAAAGTCTAGAAGCTACTCAGTTTGAAATTTGTCAGAAGAATCATAAAATCTGGTTTGTCAGAGGATTTGATGTGACGTTTAAGTGTGTATTATTTTTGAATTCTCGAACTCATTCCTAGGTTTATCATTTTTGTGCGCCGTGTTCTTGGTTCCGCTGAGCGCAGTGAGCGCTGCTTGTGTAAGCGGCGTTGTGAGCTGTGGTTTATGCGTCTACGAGCGGTTGCGGCATTGTGAGCGCCATTGCGAGCGGCAGTTTATGCAAGTGGCAGTTTGTGCGAGCGGCGCTACGGTACCACTAATGGTATGAGGGCTCATGCCATCTTGGGGCTTGCAAGTTCATCACTAGCATATTGCTAATAGTTTCTTTACCTGCCTGTAGCTGTGTGTTTATCAAGATGGCATGAGGCCTCATGCCAATTTTGTGAATGCAAAATTTTACGTGGGTGTCAATAGCATGTTTGAATAATGGCATGTGGCCTCATGCTATTGAGGTTGTTTGGTATGTTATGATTTAGGCCATTCTCCAATCATTTTTTGTATGGTCTTAACTTTTTTTCTGCACTTTCAGAATGGCCTCCGCAAGTGCGACGCATGTTCCCTCCATGGATCTTAAGAACCGTGCTACATGGATTCAGGCAAAGGTGTTTCTAAACAACCCCGAGGGGGAGGTGGTAGCTGAGGGCTTAGCCACAGTTGTCGATCCAAGAGATGCGGTTGCTAATCAAGAATTGGGTTGGGATGATATTGGAATTGCGATTTTAGAGGTTGTTGACACAGAAGAAAACAGTCTGACTATTAGAAACATTGTGCGGTGGAAATTGAGGCACTTAGTGTTTGAGAATGTGAAGGATTCACAATCAAACACCACTACAACTGATGACAGAACATCTCTTCATGGGAAAAGAAAGTACACCTTCCTAAAGCACAGCCAAAGGGATCTGAGCAACGAACGGAAAAGGCAGAAAATGGCGATGGAGGTTCGAATGGTCTCGACAGTTGCTTGTTGCAAGAGGAGGTGCTGTCAATATGCTGATTGGGATGCTATTGAAGAGGAGAGAGCAAGATACAAGACATTGTCTTGGAAGGCAGCTCGCAATTTTGTGTATGAGGCATTACGGTCATCTGTTGATGCTTTAGAACATCAGGTGGGGGGCATGGTCTTCCAGAGGGGTTTGGTCTGCATGAAGGCATGGAGAATCATTTATGGAGTCCCTCGAACCACATTCAAGGTACTAGAGAAATTCCTTAATAATATGAATGTTATTTAGTTTCATGAAAATACACTAAGGGGCAAATGAGTTAAATGACTTCTCCAGACTAGCAATGCCTCTTGCTACACCTTCACAATTAGATTCGTTAGAAAAAGATAACATTGAATAATATCTAAATGTTCTCACCATTAAGTTATATGTCTGGCTAATAGGAATGACGTTTATCTTGGAAAGCTCACCACACACTCAATGAACAAACAAATAGTGTGTGCGCGCATGCCATTGCTCTTCTTTAGCTTCAGATTCGGCTTGTTCACCTTGACAATGAGATTTATTATACAACCAGATGGACTCAGTCTGGACACAAAGTCACCGCGCTAGTCACCATGCCCCAGATATGTCTAGCCCCTGGACAAAAAACATATAATTTCACGTCATTTTCAAATACTTGAAAATTTGTACCTAGTCCCATTTTACTGAATAAATCCCACTTTAACGAAATAGAGCTTCCTTGGAGTGTGGCTAGAGCTTTTTAGGCTGAATGAATTGTTGTTAGAACAATTCTTGTCCAAGATTTTAAATATTTACTATATAACACAATAGAATTTGTTGCAGAAAGAGTAAACTTGTCACTTTCTTAAAATCCATATTATTTATTTTATAATGAAAGTTATGATCATTTAATTAATTTTTATTATATTTTTTTTATAAAATATTTTGTTTTATTCCTAAATCACATGTTTTATGGGCAGAAATAACACTTTAAATGAAATAAAAATAAAAATATCACACTACATATCAAAGTGATAAATTTTAAATAATCCTATATAATAAATAAGAAAAACATGAATTTACCAACATAACTATGAAAATACTAAATCTTTTGATAATTCAAGAGGTAATATTCTTACACAAATTAAAAATGTACCAGATACTCAATATTGTACAACAAAAGCTAAAAATAATGTAATTAGGCTCTCAATTTTTCAAGGGTTATTTAAAACAATAAAAATGTATTAATTAATAAGTACTAAATAACATAAGTGAGTATCTAATTTTAGATTATTATTTATAGCTTTAAAATTAAATAAATTTTATAAACGTTTACTAAACTTAATAACCTTAAATCTCTTTGAAAATTCTCTTAAAAATATACTTTATACAGAAGAATTTTTAATATCTTCAAATGAAAAAAAAAACATATTAGTAGTATCAAATTATAAAGTTTCATTTTATTCCGAAACAAATATTTTATGAAGATTAGATAACAAACAAATTTATCATGGTCTATTTTCTTAACAACTTCAAAATGATAGTAATATTGTATTATATACAAAAAAAAAGAAAGTAATGTAGTATATTAATAAACACTAACATTTTCTATGATTTATTATATAAAAAGTTAAATTATAATTATTTTTAATATAAGATAAATAAATAAAAGCAGTTAAACTGGAATACTATTACAATCACTGATATTAGATATTTAAACTATAATTAATTTTTTTAATAATGTGTTTTAATTTAAATTTATTAGTAAATGAATTTTTAACTAATAAAAAGTAGTGAAAGATGGTGGAATATGATAAATATAAAATATTTTTACACTTTTGAGAAGTTATTGGGTTGTAGTGGCTAAGTCATTATGTATAAAATTAAATGCAAAATAATTTATGAGTTTTTTGCATGCAAATCAATTCAAGTGAGTGACTATCTTTCTGAAGATGTGATTATAGGTTTTTGTATTGCAAAAATTAATTTAAATATATTCTATATTTTACTTTATTTATAATATGTAATATTTTTTATAAATATTATTATTTAATAAAATAAATTTATTCAAATAAATAAATGATTGCTTTGAGATTAATAAATTTTTGTTATCTAAATCATTTTGTGTTTTCATATTTAAATTATTATATTCTTTTACTTCTTTTTTTTTCATCATATAAATATAGTAATTCTAAATGTCAAATATGTGATTATATAAAAAAATGAATTTATAAAATCATTAAATGCTATATTTAAATATGGAGATGGATGCTTTTTTATTTTTAAAGATTCAATTTAAGCATTAGCTTTGCATATTACCTTTAAAATATTAATTTAGTGTGACATATCAAGTTGTATTATCTATAATAATAAGAACAAAGGGTGCAAACCCCACACTAGGCCCAAGGCAAGCTCGGAAGCCATGGTTCTCGGAAAAGAGAGGCCACCCTAGGCCCGGGCCAGGGCCAGTGGCCATGGTTAGCAAGAATATTAGCTCAGTGTTGTGGTGGCCAATGGGCAGGGTGCACATGTGGCTGGGAAGGGAAGAGGGTGACGATCACGTTCCAAGTCACGGTGTTGTGTCCTGTGCTGGCCACTGAGTCGAAAACTTTGTGAGCTTCTGCAATGCAGCCACACCGTCCGTAGAAGCCCAGCAGAGAATTCATGACAACCACCTCAACTTCCATCTCGGCATGATGGATCTGCTGGTGGATGGCCCTTCCAGTCTCCAGAACCATGGAGCTCCCACAGACCTAGAGTGTGGCAGCATAAGTTAGAGGGTTGGGTACTAGGCCTTGGACTTGCTGCATCCACAAGAAGAGATCCAGCACATCTAGTGATTGCTCCACCTGGACATATCTAAGCATCAGCATCATCCATGAGACAATGTTGTGCCTTTCTATTTGGTCGAAGACTCTCTGTGTGTCCACCTCTTTGTAAACCACCCAGCATTTGCTGAGCAAGTATTCGTATTTAAATAATATATTATATGTAAATCTTATACCTTTAAATTAGTAGTTTATCCAGTTTTTTAATGTATAATTAATAGTGCAAATGTGAATTTGGAAATCAAAAGCTCCCGTGTCTGCAAATTCTTTCTTCTCCTTTTCTTAATCTCTCTATGAACTATATTTTTACAGTTAGCCAATCAACTATGCTTTTAAATTTTATAGCACGCCTAAAACCCTGGTCAACGTGGTTTGATAGTGGCCGTTCGATAGTTCTCAATGGCGCTCTTGTATCCAGCCAGAGCGCCCGTTCTTCACCGCCCTAGGCTCGCTTGCCGGGCGTCCTCCGTGCCCTGGGGCTGCGACACCGATTCCAGTGCCTTAAATTCAGGGATTGCGCTCCAGCAATGGCTATCGCAGGCTGGATTGCCAATCCAGAAGGTGGAGCTCAAGAATGTAGGCGCCGGAGGGCGAGGTCTCGTCTCCAAGCGCATGCTCTACAAGGGCGATCGCTTGCTCTTTCTTCCGGCAACGCTGGCCATCACCACGGAATCGGTAGGCAAGATTTATTGGGATATTTTTCCATGAATGGATTTCGTGTAGGAATGGGCGTGCGCTGAGGCTGGAAAAGTGATAAGAGCGAAGGATTTGCCGGAATGGCCGTTTCTCGCGTGTTACCTCATCTCTGAGGCGTCCCTGGGAAAGAGCTCCCCATGGTATCCTTACATTGCGGCTTTGCCGCGGCGTCCGGGCTCAATCTTACTATGGTATGTCGAATTTTTGTGATTGATAAAAAACCTTTGGCTAGCTTAAACCAGGACAGCTTTGGATGTCGAGGCTCACTTGTCCGCGACCTCTATCAAGGATCGAGCGCTTCAGTGCGTACGTGAAGTCGAAGACACGTAAGATCTTCCTTCTTTTCTGCTTCTTTGTGTTTTACTTTGCTTCTTGTAGGTTCAATGATCTGAATAAGCAAGTTTTCATGAAGAACAGGGAGGAGTTTCCTCCCGAGGTAGCTATCAACTCGATTTATATATTGGCATCTTTGCTGTTGAATCAGGTCTTCAACTTGGAGTCTTTCAAATGGGCTTTTGGAATTCTATTCTCTCGTCTTGTAAGTAGTAAGAGAATCGAGAGAAAGTTCTCATCGGATGTTCATACAGGTTCGTTTGCCATCGCTCGGACAAAAGCTTGCACTTATTCCTTTTGGAGATATGCTCAACCATGACACTGAGGTCTTTGGTCGAGACATTTATCAGTTTATTTGAATCAGGGTCTGCAAGCAGGTTACGACTTTCTTGGACTTCGATTCAGGCTCAAAGTCTATAACTTGCACATTGGATCGTGGTTATGAAAGCAACAAAGAGGTAAACGACTATTCTATCCGTCCAATGCCTTGATTGCGATTCTTTGGCAGGTTTTTATTTCTTATGGAAAGAGGTCGAACGGCGAGCTGCTTGTAGCTTATGGCTTTGTTCCTTCCGGGAAAAACTCAGAAGATAGTGTAAGCATCACCCTTGGTTTGGATCCAGCAGATGAAATGTACGAGGCAAAATTGGGAGCACTCAAGGAGCATGGCCTCTCTCCGTATCCTTGGAAAACTCGCTAAACCTTTCTTGGTATACCCTTGACAATATACTGGCAAAAGGCAACAAAGTTATCCGATCAAACTGAAGGGCTGGCCAGTACAACTCACCGCCTTTGCTCGCCTAATAACAAGTCCTCCTTCCCAGCTCCACCGATACTCAGAGGTACACGTCTTTATGTTAATTCCATTTTCACTCGAATTTTTAAACTATGTTGAAAACCAAATCATAGCTCACGTCTGCAGCAACTGAGAAACAAGGAAGGAGGATGCAGCCGGTATTCACGACTGAAGAACAAATGAAGGCTTACGAGATGATCCTCTCAGCTTGCAAGCAAGCCATCGCAGCTAGCAAAAACTACTTGGAGGTAGAGCAAGGAATTGTTTCGTTTCAACTAATGTTTCAATTTTTATTTCTTGCAGAGCAAGGAAGTTCCAAGGCATGGTTCCCTCCCCAAGCTCGCTAGCGCCTTGTGCGAGAGCGAGCTCAAGATTTTGTACCGGAACGAATATGTAAGTCAAACCAAACGCTGCAAGATTATATCAAGCTGACGAATTTTATAGATCTTGAGAAGCGAGCTACGTGACCTCCGGTCTGGCAAAAACAGCGGCCTGCTCGGCAAAGTTAGCAGTATGTTCTTTAGAGACTAACGGGCATAAGATTAACGGTGTTATAATTATTCTCTTTCAAACTAGCATTGTTATGAATCATGACATTGAAGAAATTTTCCCATTTTCGTTAGTAATGTTTTATAATTAACATATAATTAATAACTTTAAATTATTAAATTAAGATGTTAACTAGTTTTATATTTCTAGCATTTATTAGCATTTTTGCTAAAAATATTTATAATTAAACTTAATGTTATAACTATATAATATTAACCATTTCAAGGGAAATTAATAGAATACCAACTTCTTTTAGGTCAATGTTTCACAAAGATATTTTATCAATCAATTCAAATAACAATATTGGATTACCATTTCTGTTTTGAATACAATTGAATTCAATAAGTAAAGTTGAAATAATGCTAGGATTTTATATAAAAAAACCATTATCTGAAATCTTAGTTAACTCTATGGCAACAAATATATGATTGCACATGCCTACATTATATATTTACACATGTGCAGATTTATATTTTTGTTTTGAGTTGCATGCAAAAAATATTCAATCACTTTTTGATTGTTATATATAGGTAGTAATCAATTATTATAGAGGTGAGCTTGATTGATTAGAGCATGAAGGTGAGCACAAAGCCTTTTGTTAGATGTTTGGAGTGTTGAGTGAAATGGTTTTCCACAAGTAAGTGAATTTTACTGTAGTTGTAGTAAAGCATTAATTCCATTGATTTCCCACATTTATAATCATGTGTACATATTTTTTACATTATAGTGATTTATTACTCTTGGGCATGTTGGTTTGTTGTGCTTGGGATTAATGTGTAAACTACTTTCCATTACCTTCACTAATAAGAGTGTCTAAAGCACATGGCAATAACAAACTCAACCTACAACATCTAAAAGATGCTCAAAATCCAACTCATCTAAACCTTGCTTATATATTATAAAATTTGTTGTGGAGTCAAAATTTATATAAAACAAACTCACATACATGGCACTGACCTGGACTTTTGAATGCATATGTGGCAAATGAAAGACATGCTCATGTGTTGAAAAGAAATTTTATCAAATTTTTTTTTTTTATAAGCCATATATGTGATGTGTTTTTATTTCATATATTTCGTAAGCTTCTACATTTTTTTGCTAGGCCACCCACCCTAGGTATACCTCCCCCTTGAGAGGTGTGCCTCCCACAAAAAACTGTCATTATAACTTTCTTTGAAACTATTTTATGGCCTGTGGGATTTAAGGTTGGAACACCTTAGGCTTCACTCTTTGTTCATTTCATTGGTACTGGAGATAGAACTCTTATTTTTAAATAGTAAATTCTGCAGCTTCATATATTATTATTTAAAAAAAAACCATTTCATCATTACCTATTATGTCAGAAAATATAATATTTAAAATGTTAATCAGAAAATAAATATAGATTCATATAACTCCAAAAATCAACAACTTAGTGCATCAAAAGCTAAATATTAGATGTGATTATTTTATATAGACCTTAATAAAAATTATATCAGCATGCCACATCAATATTTATTGCCAACACAATTTTTAGTCTCTTGAAATAAAAATTCACATTTATATTTAGATTGTACTTTAATAATATATGCAGCAAATAAACTTCTATAGGTAAAAAATATAAAAAAGATCTATAATTTTTGTAAGATTACAAGATGGGAATCTAGTTTTATATTGTTCTGGTGAAAATTATTTATGGCATTCAAATACTTACTGTAATAATAAAAAATGCCATTAAAATTTATAGTTGTTATTGCAAAGTGATTATAACTTAATTTTTTACATATCAAATAACATTAAATATTAAGTCATTAATTGAACCCGTATGGCATTCTGGTAAAAGAAGTTCAATAGACCAATGTAAAATCCATTTGCATTTGTAAAGTATTATCAAAATAATTGTTGTGTATTGCATTACAGCTGGTTTTTTGTTATACATTATCTAATATATTTATTTTGTTACAGTTTTCTAGCTATTATTACTTTTACATTCTTTAAAATATCTTTTATTTTTTATATTGTGCAATATTTGGTTTTTCTTCTTTATTTTCTAAATATTATTTTTACTATATTTTAATTTATTAAATATTTTTGATATATTTTATAATTTCTATAATTATTTATACCAGGTTTTAAATATATTTATTATTATTTTATTATCATTTTGATTTATTTATAATAACATAAATTCTTTTTAATATAAAGTTACTCTTTATATATTATTTATACCAATAAATATATAATATATAAATATAAGTGGTAGTCCAGAATAATATAGTTAAAAAATATACAAATTTAAGAAATATATATTTTGCTTAATAATTGGAAAAGAAGGACTTTGTGGAAGAATGTTTCCCTTATGTGAAAATGGTACTTGTCATTTTTCCTAGCATTTATTGATAATCTCTTGGAACACTTGTTTCCATATTAGTTTTTGTATAGCCATGAATTCCCAACACCCTCGGGGTGGTCACTCTTATATAATTGTATATATCATCTGCATGTACAGATTGGGGTTATTTTGGGTGCAAACCGTACGTATACATACAGGCCTTAGGGTTGAGTTTAATTTGAAAAATTTCGTAGGTACGGGTAGGGGCGGAGGCAGAGCTCCTCTAGGGTTCTCTACAGTAGCAGGCTGTAGAGGGCAATAGATCTCAGGCACAGTAGGTATGGAGCGTGATGTTATTGTGTATGTAGAGGATGGGGATCAAAAGAAGCCTGTGGGTTTCGTTAGGGTTCAGAGGGAGTGTTCTTATCATCAGCTCCGCGAAGCTATTGTTTCAGACAAGATTGAGGGTCTTGTTAAGAGTGATTTTGTCTTCTTAGGTGCCCTTTCCCTTGCAATGACATGTAGGCAGGAGAGATATCCATTTTTTGGAGCTAAAGTTCTGGTTCGTGTGCTTAATCTTGTAGTAATAGAACCAATTCAAGAGGGGCAATCTTCAGTAGCAACCAGTGAAGCTCATGAAGAAGATTCAACTGGATTTTTACCTGGTTTGAATTCCAAACTTGCTTCAGCTAGAGATACATGACTGGAAGAGATCGTTCAAGCAGAATGAGAGAAAGTTGAGAGCAAAAGGGAGGAAAGACAGGTTTGAATTGTTTTCATATGACTGGGATGGATGTGCTCACTTCAAAATCATGTGTCAGGAGTGTGGAATTGTTTATGGAGGAGGCCTGAAAGACACCTGTTACAATTTCGTTTCAAAGCACTGCAGTGGAGCTAGGCATGAAGCAAACTACATGAAAAATCAGCTGCAGCGGGAGAAAAATGATCAGGAAAAAGCTGATGCGGAAAGTCCTATAGAGGGTGCTAATGAAGGTGCTAAACTTGCTAGTCATGAGGAAATAAAAAACGAAGTGGAGAAGCTGATGAATGAAACCGTGGAAAGGTTTTGCGATGAGAACAATGTTTGCTTCACTCTCTACGAACTAAGTGTAGGAAATTTTGAGAGAAGGAACAACATTCGGGTTGT